ACCAGGACCAAGGCAACGTATAAGCGCAAGCATTGAATTGGGCTTGGAGTTTCTGAGTATTAGATGGCAGAGCGAAGGCAGGAACAGCGAGAGTTCACATCTGTCAGTCAGTAGGAGGCAGAGAGAGAACACATTGGGAACAGGGCAGATCCTCTGTTTAATTCTCAAAGTCCACCCCTAGAGACATATCTCCTCCAGCGAGGTCACACCCAAACAGTTCCACCAACTGAGGACCAAACAGATGAGCCTTTGGAGGCAGGCATTCGTATGCAAAGCACCACAGCGCAAGTACTGGGGTTTGCATGGATCATATGGAATATGTGTGTGTGCCATGTTTATCCAGGTGCCTACAGAGATCAAAAGAGGGCATCAGATCCTCTGGAGTTACAGGCAGGTGTGCGCCTCCCAATGTGGGTGCTGGAATCAGACTTGGGTATTCTCAAGAGCAGTACATGCTTTTTTTTTTTTTTTTAATTGGTTTTTAAGAGAGGGTTTCTATAAAGCAGCCCTGACTGTCCAGGAATTCACTCTGTAGACCAGGCAGAAAGTCACAGAGATCCGCCTGTCTCTGCCTCCTGAGCGCTGGGAACAAGTGGCAGGGAGGCCTGGCAACAGGTGGCAGGCACGGCAGCGACAGGAAGTTGAGAGCTCATCTTCACACATAAGCATGCAGCAGAGAGAGAGCTAGCTGGAAGGAGGTGAGTCTTTAAACTCTTTTTGTTTTGTCGTTTTCAAGACAGGGTTTCTCTTCGTAGTCCTGGCTATCTTGGAACTTGCTCTGTAGACCAGGCTGGCCTCAGACTCAGAGATCTGCCTGGCTCTGCCTCTCAAGTGCTGGGATTAAAGGTGTGTGCCACCACCTTCTGGCTAGAATTTGGGTTTTTTTTAAAAAAAAATATTTATTTACTTGTAGTAAATAAATAACATGTAGTATACATTCTAACATGTATACAATGTTCTGCCTGCATCTATGCCTGCCCACCAGAAGAGGGCACCAGATCTCATAAATGGTTGTGAGCCACCATGTGGTTGCTGGGACTTGAACTCAGAACCTCTGGAAGAGGTCCTTACTTAACCTCTGAGCCATCTCTCCAGCCCCTAACCCTTAACCTGGTTGTGGCCATGTCAACAACACACATCCATTCAGGACATCACTCACTTCTAAAGGGAAGGGGGAGAAAGGAGACAAGGGGAGGGGAGGAGAGGGGAGTAGGCTCCATCTATGCAGCTACAGGGGAAGCCATCATCCCTGATGGGGCAGATCTTCCCAGGTGGCTGCTTTACTGTCGCTCATGTTCTGTAAGAAACCCGAATAAATTCATTGAATTTCTCTGTGTAACAGCCCTAGCTGTCCTGGAACTCTCCCTGTACACCAGGATGGCCTCGAACTCACAGAGATCAGCCTGCCTCCCTAGTGCTGGGATTAAAGCCATGTGCCACTGCCGCCCAGCACAGCACCATTTTAAAAACATTTATTCATCTATGTATTAGCAGTTGCGGATTGAACCTAGGGCTTCATACACACAAAGCAAGCACTCTCTACACTGAGGTATGGCCCCAGTTTGTGTGCGTGTGGTTGGTTTTGTTTGTTTTGTTTTCTTGGAGTCAGGATCTCACTCTGTAGCTCACTGGAACTCTCTATGTAGATCAAGCCGGCCTGACCCTTACAAAGAGCCACCTGCCTCTGCTTGGACTTCCCAGCCTCTTCAATCCCCAGAACAAGTGAAGGAGACACCCATCTGAAATCTCTGCACTTAAAAAGTAAAAGCAGTGTCAGGCTTAAGGGCCAAGCCCAGTTGTTTACCATATTTAGGCTATGCTGAGGTTCATGTATGGTAGTGCATCATGGCTTCAATCCCAGCACTGGGAAAGCAGAGAAAGGTGGATCTCAGAGTTAGACACCAGCCTGGTCTACAGAATGAGTTCCAGGATGGCTAGGGCTCAGAGAGACCCTGTCTCAAAAAATGAAAGACCATACTGAACTACATGAGATCCTGCCTCAAAAAAAAAAGGGGGGGGATTAAAAAAAGTTTCTCCTGGATCTGGGCCTCTTGGTACAGCCTCACCATACCAAACGAAGAAATGACAATTTAGGTTATATTCTCATTCCTTCTGTCTGGTACGGTGGTGATATAGATATGAATAATTTACATTGGTATAAATTTTGCTTTGTTGACATAAATTTAAGGTCAATTTCATTACATGTATATGTATTTCTGATCTTGATTAAGGTATTGATTGTGTAGTTCATTTTAAAAATGTAATGTATAATTAGGAAATATAGGTTGTTAATGAATAATCATCAATAATAGTCAAGCTTGTAGTCATGTTAGTTAAATTTTCTAGATATGTAGAGATATATTTCAGTTAAATATGCATTCTTCATATCTTTCAAAGACTACAGAATATGATATTTAATGTTTTAATAACTTATAACTTTTCATGACAATGAGACACGTCTGCTCCTGGCAGCACCAATCTACTTCAAGAGGAAGATGGGCATCGAAGAGGCTCCTTATGAAGTTGGTTAGCCATTTGGGCAAGAAACTGCTCTTGCCTGGACTGTTGTATAAACTGGACACAGAGAACCTGCAGAGAGAGGACTGCTGAACTTGCCTAAAGGTGAGATGATCCTGCTTCATGAAAGCGTCTGCGAGACATTCTACAGAATACAAAAGAAAGTGACTGAACTGTCTTTAAAAGTTCCTGCTTCATGGAAATGTCTGCTGGATACTATGGGCCTGTAGGCTGAAGATGGATACCCCAACGGTACAGAAGAACTTTGGGTGACTGTCAGGCAGCAAGATGTCTCTGTCATTTCTAGAGTTTTAGAAGTTGCTTACTTCTTGTTTACTTAGGTAATATTATATCCTTCTGGAGTCTTTGATGGAGTTGAAGAATAGATAGATAGTTATAATTATACTTTTCCTTTGTTATGATAAAAGATAAAATAGATATAAATATTGTAACTGTAATTCTTGCTTGATAACTGTTTTGTTATATGGAATTTTACTATGTTAAAATGAAAGCTTTTCTTTTTGTTTAAACAGAAAAGGGGAAATGGTATAGGAGGGTCTTCTTTCTATGTGTTGCTTTCATTGGTTGAATAAAGAAAACTGCCTTGGCTTTTTGATAGGGCAGCCCTTAGATGGGTGTGGTAGATAGAACAGAATTCTGGGAGGAAGAAGGCATTGTCGCAGACACCATGGCTCTCCTCTCCGAGACAGACGCTGGTTAGACTCATGCTGGTAAGCCAGAGTCAAGTGGTGATACACATTAATAGAAATGGGTTAATCAAAATGTGAGAGTTAGCCAGTAAGAGGCTAGAACTAATGTGCCAGGCAATGTTTAAATTAATACAATTTGTGTGTTGTTATTTCAGGGTGGCTGAGAGCCGGGTTGGACGAAAAGCAGCTCATACAACATGGTGGCACACACATGTAATCTTAGTAAGAGTCTTGAGCTCAGCCTAGTATATACAAATAGACCCTGTATCAAGGAGAAGACTCGCTGGAGAGATAACTCAGCTGTTAAGAGCGGGACCTGCTCTGGCAGAGGTCCTGAGTTGGTTCCCAGCACTCACATGTGGCAGTTCACAACCACCTGTAACTCCAGCTCCAGGGATACCACGCCATCTTCTGGCCTCTCTGGGCACCCACACTCACATGCATACACATAAATACACATAATTTAAAAAACAAAGCCAAAACCTTTTTCTAAAATAAGGAAAAACCAAACTTTCACTTGAGTTTCATCTTCTGCCAGTAGTGTCCATCACTCAATGAAAGCAAAGGTGGAAGGCTGGGAGATGCCTTGGTAGGTCAAGAGCTTACCAGATAAACATGAGGACCTGAGTTCAAAATCACAGCACCCACATAGGATCCAGGAGTGGGGCTGAAGAGATGGCTCAGCCATTAGAGGCTAGACTTACAACCAAGGATACAAAAAGCCAGGTATGGTTACCCCACTGCTAGGGCTGCAGAGACAGGCAGATCTCAGGGGCTTACTGGCCAGGCAGCCTAGCCCAAATGGTGAGTTCAGTGAAGGATTCTATCTCAAAGAACAAGGCAGAGAGGCCGGTGAGATGGCTCAGCTAGTAGAGGCACTTGCTGCCAGGGTTGATGACCTGAGTTTGCTCTCCATAACTTGCATGATGGAAGGAGTGATGTGTGTGTGTGTGTTTGTGTGTGTGTGTGTGTGTGTGTGTGTGTGTGTGTACACATAAATAAAGGTAATGTAAAATATTTTTAGGCAGTCGGGTGATGGTGGCACATGCCTTTAATCCCAGCACTCAGGAGGCAGAGATAGGCAGATCTATGTGAGTTCGAGGCCAGTCTGGTCTACATTTGACAGAGCAAGGTCCTGGACAGGTTCCAAAGCTACAGAGAAACCCTGACTCAAAAAAACAACAAAAAAATTTTAGGCAGAGGCAGGATAATCTTTATGAGTTTGAAACCAGCCTGGTCTACATAGCAAGTCCCAGGACAGCCAAGACAACAACAGAGAGAGTCCCAGCCTCAAAAAAATCCCCCCAATTATGATACATATATGTAACTTATGTAACTCTGTATGTATATATGCATGTTTGTGTGTGTGTGTGTGTGTAAACTGTGTCTCCATATGTATCTCTGGCTGGCTGGCCTGAAACTCACTATATAACTATACAAACCAGGCTGGCCTCACTCATAAAAATCCACCTGCCTCTGCCTCCCAAGTGCTGGAATTCAAGGTGAGCATCACTATATCACTAAGAGCAATAAAATCTTTTTTGAAACATTTTAAGAACATTAAAAGAAGGTGGAGAACAATGAGAAAGATACCCAAATCAGCCTCTGGCCTCCACGTACAAGCCTGGACAACTTCAACTGCACCCAAGCAAACAAAAAAGCCCTCAAAGGTGGTTTATGACCCACAGGGCCCCTGTAAAGTCACCTGGGGCTGCTAAACGTTCTCTGAGTTCCACAGTGAGATGTGCTACCATCACACCAACACCCTTGCAGTATAGTTTTGCTTTTATTGTTCAAGAATATTTTTATAAAATCCACATACGCACACACACATCTACATACATGCAAGATGCCTACCCAGCTCCGGTCGCCCCTTGCCCTGATTGCTCCTGGCATCAGATCTCAGTGACCACTCAGGAAGCCACCCTACAGCTCCCCATGTCACCAGTGCAGGGGCAAAGAGAGGGGATCTCCCGTTTTGCCTCCCTGCTCAGGAACAAAGGAAGGCTGATGCCCTTTGTCCAAAAGCAGGGAGTCATGAGGAAACAGGTTGACCTCATCTCTCCGCAGAGCTCCCTGAGAGGCTGGCTTAGGTCCCCAGTGTCACAGCTGCTAATGCCTTTGGGGTCCTCTGCAATTAGATGGAGGTCCAAAGATGGAGTATGAGTCACCAGAACGCACAGCATTCGTATAGTGCAGGGATGGGAACTGGGTTCTTTTCCATCCACAGGAGGTGGTAAGTGTAAACCCTGGAACCTGCTAGACTCTCAGGGAAGCAGTTAGCCAGGATCAAGAGGGGAGTACCCACGAGTTAGCCCTGGGACTTGGAAACTTTCACCAGGATTAGAATGGTCTGCCCAGGGTACCCTCAGTGACTGCCCGTGTGGCTTGTTCAGGCACACGGCTCGGATCGGTCAGGATGCTGGTAGATGTGCTGAGCTGGCGAAGGGAATTCAGGACAGCTGGAAGAAGAGAATGAGTTAGGGGTGGAGTCAAGAACATGGGGGAAATACCAGTTAGCTAAACAGGTGACTGTTCCCAGGACCTCTTTCTTTAGGTATTTTAGAGACTAAAGGACCATCCAGAGTGTGATATGGTGGAATGGACTCAAACCCTAAGCTGTATTCAAGATAGACTAGACTTGGGAACCAAGCAGGCTGGGTTTGAACTCTGCTCTGAAGCCCCACAAGTGTGTGTATGTGTACATGAGTGTGTGTTACTAAAGACTGAACTCAGGATTTTGTGCATGATGATGTAAGTGTTCTGCTCAGCCAAGTCCCCAGCCCCTCACTGGGGGAATCTAGGCAGGGGCTCTACCACTGAGCCACATTTCAGGCTCCTCACTGGGGGATTCTAGGCAGGGGCTCTACAAGGTCTCACATGTTAGTAGGCAGGAAGATGGCTCACGTACTTGGTCGGAGAGCAGGCAGAGAACAGTATTGGTCTAGCCAAGCCAGTGAGGTCTGGCGGAGGCTGTGCAAACTTGTGGTAGACACCATCCCATTGAAGGACTCAAACAAAGGCCGGATGAGGATGCTGAACTGGGCTTGGAGTCAAGGAACACACCAGTGGTCCAGACAACACCCCACCACCTCACAAACAGCTATGACACTGGACCCAAGCCAGTGCCAAGAAAAACCTTTCCCTGTCTAATCGTGAACGCTACAGTAAGTCACTCTGCCTCCCTCCCTCCCTCCCTGGCAAGGGTTATTCATTCATCTCTCTATCCTTCCGCTTGGTTCCTCCAGAGCCCTCATTCTGTATTGGCCCATCCCACATCTCTAGGCTCAGTCAAGAACAAAAATACTGGCCTGAGGGCACAAGCCTGTGATTCCGGCCATTCAGTAGACTGAGGCAGAAGGGTAACAAGTTTGGGGCTACCCTAGCCAACTTAGTGAAAATTTGTCTCAAAATAAAAAGCTAAAAGAGGGCTGGGGCGGAGCTTCTGACCAATCTCTAGTATGGGAAATCGAACACAACTCAACCCAGGATTCAGGAAAAAGTGGATGCCCTGCCTTCTCTAGACCTAGCACCACTTGGACTTTAGATACTTCCCAACTGCCTTCAGGGACATCTCCCAACTGCATTACCTCCCCATCCCCGCCCCACCCTGCTCTCCCTCTCTCTCAGCTGACATGCATTCTTGCAATCCCAGGGCCCGACAACAGAGGGCAGAACCAAAGCCCATTTCCTGGGGTCCTACAGCTCAGCCTGTGGTCTAATACACAGCCTGGTCTGACTACAGCAACAGCAGCCGAGTAAAGGATACTACCCAGAACTTCCAGTTGTGCAGTGTGCGGGTCCGGACATAGTCATCAAACATGTCGCGCATCTGGTCAAAGCGCTGATGTGTGATGGGCACCCCAGTGGCTGGGAGCTGCTGCTGGCACAAGCTATGGATGGAAAGAGTCAGGGAGGGTGAGGATGCGTCTCCTTTATCCCAGCTCTTAAGTACTTTTTGCTTGTTTGTTTGTTTTTTGTTTTCTGAGACAGGGTTTCTCTGTGTAGCCTTGGCTGTTCTGGAACTCGCTTTGTAGACCAGGCTGGCCTTGAACTCACAGAGATCTGCCTGTCTCTGTCTCCTGAGTGCTGAGATTAAAGGTGTACATCACTACAACCAGCCTTGTTTTTTTTTTAATAATTATGCATTTATTTCTTTTCCTGTGCATTTGTGTTTGTCCTACATATATGTCTGTGTGAAGTTGTCTGATCCCCTGAAACTAGAGTTACAGGCAGTAATGAGCTATCATGTAGATGCTGGGAATTGAACCCGGGTCCTCTGGAAGAACAGCCATTGCTCTTAACTGCTGAGCCATCTCTCCAGCCCCTTGTTTTGTTTTTTAAGGTGTTGGAGATGGAACCCAGTTCTTGCATATGCCATGAAAGCACCCTATCACAAACCACATCTCTAGTACCTCATTGGAGGATTCTAGGCAGTTGGTATATCACTGAGCCATGCCTCACAGCCCCCTTCTGGTAGATTTTTAGGAAAGCATTTTATCACTGAGCCACACCCTCAGCTCTTCAATGAGGCATTCTAGGCAGGTGCTCTACCTCTGAGCCAAGCCTCAGCCCCTCACTGGGGGATTCTAGGCAGGGGCTCTATCACTGAGTCACACCCCAGCCCCTCACTGGGGGATTCTAGGCAGGGGCTCTACCTCTGAGCCACACCCCAGCCCCTCACTGGGGGATTCTAGGCAGGTGCTCTACCTCTGAGTCACACCCCAGCCCCTCACTGGGGATTCTAGGCAGGTGCTCTACCACTGAGCCACACCCCAGCCCCTCACTGGGGGATTCTAGGCAGGTGCTCTACCTCTGAGCCACACCTCAGCCCCTCACTGGGGGATTCTAGGCAGGTACTCTACCACTGAGCCATGCCCCAGCCCCTCACTGGGGGATTCTAGGCAGGTGTTCTGTTGAGCTTCAACCCTGCTTACTTGATGGCGGCATTGAGCTCCTCTATCTCATCCCGCAGCTGCTGCGCCTCCTCCTGCATGGCTGCCCGTTCCTGCTGCAGCATCAGGATGTATTCGGCAGTCTTCTGCAGTGTTGTTGCTTTGCTCACCTGCGGGCGCCACCAGTGTGGGCCTCTGTGCTGGCAGGCCCTGGGATCTGGTGTTGGGTGTTGGTCCAAGGAGGGGCTCCATGACTCTAAGGGAATGTGCACCTCTGGCTAGGGGCTCACCTTGAGACTGGGCTGGGCACTGAGCGTGCTCACAAGTCCGTGGAGGGTGTCAAATCCTAGCTTGATATTGAAACGCCTCTTCTGCTCGGCAGAGATGTGTGTGATGCGCCGGTTCTCCATCTTGGAAAGCAGAACGTGAGATGAGTCTAAAGGAAGCCGGGGGTAGGATTGGTAGCAATTGCATCTTGGGGGTCAGGAGACTGTACATACCTTGTTGTTGTCTACGCGACCCCGGTTTAGGACAGGTTGAGGGGGAGACAGGTGGACACTCAGTGCCCCTGGGGGTGGTATGGAGTTGAGATCCCCTGATAATCGCCGCTCACTGCCTGTGGCAGGGACAGACCAGGACAGACAGACACACAAGAGAGAAGGTCCCCTTGCCCTGTCCCTGTCATTCTGATCACAGTCACAGTCCCCCCCCCCATCTTTCTCCTCCCTCCTTCCTCTAAGATCCACAATCCCTCCAGCCCCTATTTACCGCTGGGTGCTGGGGGTGAGAGCCGCTCTGCTTTGGGGACAATCAGGGACCTGGGAGGGGCCAATGTGGCTGGGCCTGGAGGTGGCTGAGGTGGTGTAGGGGCCGGGATTGGGGGAAAGAAGGCACGGGCACGGGGGAATTCAGAGACTGTATCCTGCTGGGATGGAGAAGGGCAGAGAGTTGGGGTAAAGGCCCTAGCCTGGCCCTTACATCCCAGTGCCCACCATCTTACCGGAGACTCTGGGGGCCGGAGGAGGGTGCTGGGCACAGCTGGAGGTTCCAGTGCTTGCTCAGGCTTGGCTGGGTACAGGCAGTACTATGAGAACCACTAGACTGGCCCAATCAAGTCCATCACCAATTAAGACCCCGTCTTGCTCCCCAGCAGCCCACGCACCCTATCAGATATAGCTCAAGTCTCTAACATCATTCCACCCTCTCTCTGTCCCCCAAGCTCACCCTAGAACCCTAGCCTTCTGCCCTAGTAGCCTGCCCACTCCCTCCCAGCACCTTGTCCACCTGCCTCCCCCATCTCACCTGCCCTGAGAAGCTGTGTAAGGCAGGGGTTGTTGTCTCTGGCAGTGGCGGTGGGGCTGGCAGTCGTAGGGGCCAAGGTAGGGGGACTGGCTTTCCGTCCGCCTGGGGACGGGGTGGAGGGCTTGCATCTGGGCTGCATATCCTGAGGCATGGTGAAGTGAGGCCTAAAGACAGGCTCTGGGTACCCAGGGGGCAGATGGTCTACAGGGAAAGGGGCGGGGCCAGGGCTAGGGCCAGGCTGTGGCGTGGGAACGAAAGTGGTAGGAGCAGGAAGAGTAGGCACTCCTGGAGCAGGCGGGACTGTGGTGAAGGGCAACCTGGCGGAGAAGAGGGGCTCTTCTGGCAACAAAGTGGGAGGTGGAGCCATTGTAGGGAAGTGAGCTGGGGTGCAGGGCTCTAAGCCCTGCGCCTTGACAGGGGTGGGGTATGGAAGGAGAGGAGGAGGAGGCATAGCAGTAGGTGGGATCTTGGTCTTTGGGTCTTCAGGAAGAAGGAAGTCAGAACTCATAAAGGTACTGGGGTCCAAGGGTCCAGGGCAGCTGTTCCGAGCCTAGGTGAGGGGCAGGGGAGACAGGATGATACTCACAAGAGCAGGGGAGGGACCTGCCTGTACCCACCAGGAAACCTCTGTCCTGGCTATGTACTGGACTGGGTACTGAGGACACAGGAGAAGTGATCCGCACACACGTACACACATGCACTCACCGGAAATCATAATCTAACGTACAACTGTAGCCTAGTACAGATTGTATGCACAAATTAGGCATGGCACATCAGTCTTACTGATAATTCGCGATCCATCCACCAACCAGACAATTTACCAACCACCCATCTATCCATCCATCCAACCATCCAGCCAGCCAGCCAGCCAGCCACCTATCTATCTGCTCACCCCACTAACTTGCCCACTAATCTATGTATTATCCATCTACCTACTTGTCCATTCATCCATTCATTTACGTATGTATTCTCTCCTCTATGAACTCACGCATCTCTCTATTCCACCCCCAGATGTGATGGCTAAACTGGATTGGTAGAACCGAGGAATGCCTAGGAGACTGGTAAGGCACACAGGTGTTTCGTGGAGGGCATTCTCAGAGTGGCTAAACGAAGAGGGTGGGGTGTGCTGGTTACGGTCCATGGTCAACTCGATTCCATTAAGACATGGGTCGCGCCTCAGTGAGACACAGCTTTAGGTGTGTCTCTGAAGATGTTTCCAGAGAGGGTTAATTGAGAGAGAAGACTCCTGGGTGTGGGTAGAACCATTCCACGGGGATGGGATCCCAGACTATAGCAAGATGTCTCAGGAACTGAAAGAACTTGCTTTGCCAAGCCTGAAGAGTTGAGTTTGATCCCAGGAACTCACGTGGGGGAAGGAGAGAACCAGCTCCTGAAAGTTATTCTCTGACGTCCATGTGTGCGCCCACATACACATACACACACACACACACACTTGTGAAAACGCACAGAATAAATTAAAAAGTAGTAAGTAGGGGTACTGGTAAGATGGCTCAGTGGGTAAAACACTTAACTACTAAGCCTTGACTCGAGTCCCTGGGGCCCACATGGTGCCATGGTGCCATGGTGCAACAGGAGAATTGTTACCTTCAAGTTGGTCTCTGACCT